TCAGTGGGAGATCTTCCCCTGCTCCAACCATGGTCTGCCTATGGTCAGAATTGCCGTAGCATTGTCAACCCTGCACTGAGCAGCTGGGTGGACTATATAACCACTTAAGTTCCTTTCACCTTTACAGACAAATGGTTAAAAACATAGGACACTTCCTGCAAAGCAAGGTTCAGCTAGCCCAGTATGGTCAATGCTAATTGGCAGGGACTCTCCAGGGTTTCGGGAATAGTTCTTTTCTCAGCCCTAATTGGCTATTGTTTGAGACCTTCTCCACACAAAGACAGCCTGTGCTGCAAACTCTCCCAATATGGCAGCCCATGGTAGTTACCCATCCAAGTATTAAGCAGACCTGATCCTGCCAAAATCATGCAAGCTCAACATACTTAGCATGATGTGGTGTTCAGGAGAATATGGTTGCATAGATCATTAAAATTGAGAGGGTGAGGGATAAGATCTTTGTGCTGTTTGACAAAGAAATCTGCATCTGGGGATCTTCAAAAGCTCCGAGTTTCCAATTGGATACATAGGGTCCCATCTGTCCCACTGAATATGGTATGACTTACTTCTGAGCTAACATGCATAGGACTACACTGCAATCCCCACCCCACCCATGCTCTGAATTATAAATTAAAAGTGCTTTCTTGGTGAACTTTCACATGAGAATGAAAGGAAGCCCAAGGCAACCATGTGTATCCATCATTCAATCAATTGAAATTCTCCTCACTTGTAATTAGTGAGGTGCAGAGAATCGTAAAGTCGACTTGAAGAAATAAGGAAAATCAGTTCCTCGTGTGGAGCTTCTCCACTGTGGTACTGTGAATCTCATCAAGTTTCTAATCCACCCATTTTCACTCAGGTTGAAAACTTTTACAGAGCTGCCTCGCTCATCGTCTTTGCTTCTGGACCAAAATGAAAAGAGATGTCAGAAATGATCAAACCAAAAGTTGGCAAGAAGTCAATTCATTTTCTTTGTATTCAGAGAAACAGCACCTATAGAAGGAGCATATATTTGTTGTAGAGATGGGTACAAACCACCCTTTGGCAGTTCAGCCGGGTTCAGTGGAGCGCAGGTGTTTGTTTCCACAGGCGCAGCGTGCTTCCCTCCCCTGCCGCAGGTGGGAGGGTGAAGGTGCTCACCTGCTCACCAGCTGCACTGCACTTCCCTGCTCTGCCTTCTCCACACAATCTCCACCCAGGCAAGGAGATGGGGCAGGGCAGCCTGTGGTACTGCTGATGAGTGAACAATTGTGTGGAAAAGGCAGAGGAAGGAAGCACACCGCAGCCAGTGAGTGGGCGAGCGTGGGGAGGAAGTGGGTGGGAAGTGCTGGGTACCCACGAAACACCTGTGTGGGTGCTGCACTGGACAATGCTGAACTGCTGAAGCACAGTTTGCGCCCATCTCTAATTTGTTGTTTAGCATAGTAAGTCACAGTAGAGTAAGCCCATCCAGACACTGGGGATTTCGTGAGTTAATTCCTCTGTAAGTTCAATTGATTCAAATGGGCCAACTCTAGTGGAATATGCTATGCTAAGTAACAAGATTCCAGTCCTAATGGCTACCTACGTACCCATTCCCTCAGCCACCTATCTCTCTGTGACTGTGTAAATGGTTCAGTAAAATCTTGAGCTGAACTCAAAGAATTCAAATCAATTGGAATCCATCCTGAACCAGACTGAATTGGGTTGGACTGGGTTCAAAGTCAAATAACTAAAAACAAACAGACAGACAAACAAAAAACAAAACCCCATCACATGAATCACAGTCCTGATATGTCAAGTATAATGAAGTATGCAAGTCGAGTTTCTACTCTGTAAAGCATTCCATGTCCCCCATCCAGCCAAAGCACAGCAAATGCCTTAGTATTTCCATTGTACACAGATCCTTCCCAGGTGAAACAATTTGAAGAAAATTGTTTGAATATTTTCTCTCAACCTTCCAGCATTGGAACAATTGCCAGCCAGTAAAACCGCCTGGTGGTACATTCAGAGAATGGAACTTTGATCATAGAATGCGCAATGCATTTATAGCACTCCCTGCCCATGACAGTTCACTTGCTTATCTGCCATTGGAAGAGGATTAGAGCGTAGGAAAATTTACTTTCCCCACCCATTACAGCACTCAGAACCCCCCAAGAAGCTTGGCCTAATAATAGAATATTATTTTTCTTTTCATGCTGCTTGTGAGCTTCCCACAAACATAATTAATACGTATGTCCCATGAAATCATTTCTAATTTACAGTGAACCTATAAGAGGCTTCTACCTAAGTAGAAAGCTCTGAGAAGTGGCCTACCAGTCTCTCCTTCTGGTGGCGCTCGGGAACCAAGCAGCTTGCCCAAGGCCACACAGGAGGCAGGCCACATAACCTCATCAGCCACACACACGCTGGGTGGTCTTGGCCGTTCCCTCTCCCAAGATTGCACTCCCACCCACCGCCTGGCCCTGCAGCCAGGGGCTCCAACCCAATGGACTACACCGGGTGCTACAAATGTCTGATTTACTTCAGGGTTAGCTTTTGTGGATTACAATACCTGTGTGCTTAGAGAGGTGGATTGCAATCTACAAACAAGTTACATGCTGTTAGTTTTTATTTTGTTTGCTACATCTTTGACCTTAATTGTTCCTTGTAACTGGACATGTGCTTTTGTATAGTCACTTAAAAACACAAATACGTACCCACAATCTTTCAGCTGAATGCGAGACAGATTTTGCTTTTGTCTTCAGCGTTGGGTTTTTAAGTGTACACCTCTGTGGCACATATGTGGATGGCTTCTCTATTGCAGAAGTACAGCTCCATCTTGTGGGCTGTTTATTCATGGTTTACCAATTCTATTTTAAAAGATGCTCAGTGTGTGCTTTGTTTAATTAACCTATGCCGTGGGTGGTAATCGTGGTTCTTTAATGTGGCTTTTAAAAAAGAAGCAAAGAATGATTCCTGTTTTGAAAACTGCAAGTAGTTCTACGGCCTTTGTTTCTATGTTTTTTATATTTTTCTTGTAAGACACTTTTATTCTTTAAAAAAAGCATCCAAGAAAGATAAATACTAATAAATGAGGAGGAGGAATTAAACATGATTTAAAAAAAATCCACAGTGTCATTTGATAGATTTTGCAGTTCCTAGACAGGTGTTTTCATGCAATTTCCTGAATTAAAAAAAAATTAAAAAATTCTGGAACAGGTCAAGAGCCAGGTAGAGAAATCATTATGATATGAGTAGTATAATGAGTCACACTTTATAAACTGCTGCTTTCAACACTTGTAAAATATTGGCTGCAGTCCTGTTGCTTAGCATAGTAAGTTGTACTAGAGTAGGTCCACTGGAGCAGTAAAGATTTTAATCAGTTTGTTCATAAGCTCCATTGATTCAAATGGGTCTACTCTAGCTAGGACTCACTTTAACATAGCAGGTTGCAACTAGAGCAGACCCATTTGCTTCATTGGACCAAATCCCCACTGATCCAATTAAAGCTATTCATATATATGAAGACAGAAGCCCCAATATATTCAGTGGCCCTTAACCTTTTGTAAGTTTGCAACAAACTGCATTCTTCTTCTAGTTCTTGGGCCAGTGCCATGTAGAGATCAGACTGTTCCACTAGTACTTATGAGACCCGGGTTCAAATCAACACTCACCCATGAAGCAAACTGGAGAAGAAGGAAGAAAAACACATATGGTGCCATGAGCATCTTGCAGAAAACGTGTGATAGATATGCACCAAATAGATAGATAGATAGATAGATAGATAGATAGATAGATAGATAGATAGATAGATAGATAGATAGATAGATAGATAGATAGATAGATAGATAGATAGATAGATAGATAGATGAATGAATGAA